TGGCCCATCTTTTGTGTATACTAGCCTGGCTAACAATCCAAACAAAGGAACAAAGAAAAACCTATCTAATGATTGGGTCATATCAATTTCTTAAGTCACACCAAAAAGTCTGATATTGTAATTATATATAGAACAAAATTATTGTCAATACGTTTCATGTATAATTCTTAGGGATTACCTTATAGCTGATAAATTTATAATAAGACGCAGACCAGACTCTTGCTCTAATTATACAGACAAGCATGCGGACCAGGTAACCCTTTCTTTCTTCATATTCACCCACCAACACACCAGCATATACAGGTATGCAGGATCAAAAATCGCATTAATGAAGTGTTAACTAGATCGAATATTGAGGCAAAGTTTACCTGTAAAGGTTGCAGTTCTGCATACTCCATTTCTATCTCAGAATACTTCATGATGGTGCTATCTACCTATATGTGTGTGTATGTAGGGAATACCTGTGAGGCTGTACAAGCCCCAGCTTATTAACCCTCGGCTCTGGTATTCTAATTTCACACCAGTTGAATGTTAGTCTCTGTATAGCCCTTCAGCTTTCTTAATGCAGCATGACTGGGAAGTAGTCATCCTGCCTTATTATTGGTCACTCCAGACACAGCTGTTTGCAAATGAAGGCACACTTGACTAACAAAGACTTGTGTCAGGCTTATCATGCAAATGACATCCCTGGCAACAAAACAGGGAGCCACGCTTCACTAATAAACAACTGAACAATGCACTTATTTGGCTTACAGCTATACTTTATTATGAAGAAGTGGGTATTTTGTCACCACAAACACTGTCATAATATGAAAGGAAATTAGGCTGGGTTGCACCTTAAAGAGTGTATTAACCATAGATAAGTTACTATTTTCATGAGTTTGAGCCTACTTCTAAAGAGCACACCAGCTAAATAAATAGACCAAGGCCCATAATTACTGCAGCTCAAATATAATCAAATCTCAAAGCAAACAGTGGAGTAAAACTAACATCATCTCTCCATTCATGTCCCTCCCAAGCCTGCCATCCTGTTCTAAAATATCATATTCTCGATGGTAGAAAGCAAGCTGTTTAAACAGACGCTTCCAGTAGTTTGAAGTTTTGTTGACAGTTGTGAGCTTTATGTCATGCTAGAACGTCACTCAGCAAAGATGTGGGCTTGCCTGGACAAACAAAATTCCCACGACAAAACTATCACAAAGTTTACATTTCTGCACCAACTAACTAATAATGCATTTTAAAATGGTGCTATTGTTCAAAGTGTTTCATGAGAGGTGATAACCAAAGCTGCATACGTTTCTTGTAAGATTAGTCCAGAAAATTCCTGAATTAAATATACCAGAACTGTTTGAACCCTAACCCAGAAAATGTTAAAACCAGTCTTTGATTTTCAGGGCACAGTCATTTTTTTCACCAAATCTTTTTCACTGCAATCTGTGCTTCTCAAAAAAGTTGTCATATATGTAAATCAGCTGCAACAGCTTGCCCAGTGAAGGGAGGAATCACCAACAACACTAAAAAGTTAAGTAGCCAAAGCCTGCATCTAATCTCATTTCTTGGCACACAATTATTTTATCACTCGAGGCTACACAACTCCCAATTAGCCTCATCTACTGTTCCTTTGTATAATTATTTACACAAATATGCCCTTAAAGCTTAGCAAAACCCTCTTTTTTTTTTGCCCTGAAAAAACTTCTATACAAGTAGTTTGTTGTTTCCCTTTTCATTTCTTTTGCCCTATGTATCTTTTTCAAACAAAATATGCCAATATTTTATACGGCAAGCAGTGGAGAGTATCACATCGCATACAATTAAAACAGTACCCAAGTTCATCCTAGCTTTTATCTTTTATCAACAAACTTATAAAATAACTTAATGTAGTAGAAAAGTAACTGAGAAACCTTCATCAAGATCTCTCTCTCTCTCTCTCTCTCTCTCACACACACACACACACACACACAAACACACAGCCACACCTCCAATCTCCCAAGTAAAAAAAAAAAAGCGCATGGACTGAATCTTTGTCTTTTTCTAAAAAACAGAAAATAGACAAGCTACCAGAAATGGATTAAATAACCTTTCTAAAAATAAAAAAATACATTATGGGCATTAATCTAGATATGAAAAACATGATAATATATAGAGTAAATGAAGGAAACATAATCCCTCTCACTTTTTTTCATCTTTCCCTGTAAATAATGTCCATATAAGGCAGTGGTATAGTTGAAGTGTTTAGATCCTGTGATTATGGGGCCACACAGTCAATCTAGGGTCACATCTGATGTTCCCAGCAGGTGGCACCCTGGGCACCAGCTTAATATAGGGACAGGTTCAGTCTCACTGGACATTCAGAGGAAGTTTTTGAAAGTCACCAATTTTCATATACATATTGGAATTTTGATGTCAAATAATTCAATCTTATATATAAGAATGACAAAAAAAAAAAAAAAAAAAGAAATTGGAAAATATGGGCAGATCTTTCACTTTTAGTGCTCATAAACATGTATATCAAACGTTTCATCCAAAAGAGAGGAAAAAGAGCTATACACACTGCAAAATACCACAACTTTTTTGCAACTCTAAAAATATATAACAGATCTGTAATTTAATGTCAACTCATTCTGTTTTACTTTTCTTTTTTCCAAAATTATAAATAACAGAAAAAAGACATTTTTCTCCACAAGACATATATTCTGTTCACCATTCATCAATCTGTAAAAAAAAAATGGAAGTATTGATAAAATCAACCATAATTCTCTGGATCAACAACATGAACTGATTTCAGTTTAAGTATCAAACTGACAGCTGGTAGGGAACAAGTGATGTTTGATTTCAGACACTTCATTTTCAATTATCAAGGATGTGAGCCTGCCAAACTATGTAAGAACAGGAACAAATAAGTATAGAATATACATCCCTTTCCTTAATCAATAATCATATGTTCAAAATAAATGTTACTTACTGTTTATATCAATATTGAAATCATGTATTGGTATGTTTATGTTATAAGCATTTAGATACCTTTTGGAGTATTCTGTAACTGCAGATGATATAGCATATGTCTAATAGTGGGTTTTTGATCCACTTAAGACGAAATAAGTTGGGAATAATTAAAAATGTAAGTTTGATGAAACTTTTGTTTGTATATGTGTGCGGGGAAAATGTGTGAGAAAAATTAACAAGATATTTGTAATTAAGTATCTTTAACATTTAAATTTCTCTCATATCTAAAATTATTGCATATAAGCAAAAAATAAAATAATTTTAACTAAATTATGCAGATAAAGAAAGAGAGAGAGAGAGAGAGAGAGTTCAATGCTGTCTTTATTTTGTAAGCTATCATCAAAACTCTTCGGTTCACAGGAAATGCTGCAATCACCTTTTCAATGACTACCAGCTGAGGTTGATTTTTACTACCATGCAATGTGTAAAAAGAGCAGTTGCTGAAGGAGATTTTATTTTCATACTAAATACAGTCACCTTATGATTTTTACGTGTTTGAGACGGAAAATCTTGAACTGATTAGGCTAGAATCCAGCAAAAACAACCCCTATTCAGAGGAAAGGTGTGCACTTAAAGACCTTTGCATATTCAGAATGGCACCTCTTTGTGATGAGAGTTGATATTGTTGAATTATTCTTTATATTACCAAATAATATGGCAGATAATGCAGTGATAAAATTCCTTATGAAAATGAGTACAGAGCTAGCAAACTGGAAGAGTATAAATAAACAAGTATTTAAATATCTTAGTTCATGTAACTTAACTCGTGCTAGAGATGCTCTAGAGTTAAACATATTTAAATGATCAATTTCAAGTAATACTTAATCAAATATAAAACTGTCTTCACTCTGCTATTATATAACTCACGAAGGTTAGGTCAGAAAAAAGAATGTTCATAATTTTGCTCATTTTTGGGGGATCTGACCAAAACCTTTCAAGCCAGTCAGAAAATTTAAAGAGAAACAAAAATCCGGTAAGGGATTTAAAAGATGAACATGGTTAAGTGGGACAGCAATGACAAAGTGATCAGAATATATACAGTGTCTGCATATAAAAAGCAAGACTGCAAAACAAGTATTTTTTTGTTTTGTTTTGTTTGGCTTAAATGTTACTCATTATTTTCTTTATCAAAACACTCCTCTTACTTATTCCGTGTCTTTCATACTTTCAATCATAAAAATTAAAATGATTTATTTGCAACCTTAATATTTATTCATTTTCTGGCTGTAGGTTCACATACTTCTTATTTAACAATGAATAAAATATCTCCACAAAAAAAGGCATCACTAGCATCGTAAAAGTCAAGATCTAAGCTAGATAAATCTACAACTTCTAATAGTATTTTGACATATATTTCCCTCTGCTTTGTTTGATAAAAAATAATCATATGAACAAAAATTCTAAAACTTTGTGATAAAATCCTCAAACGCTAAACACGGCAAAAGGAACATAACCCAAACAAGGAAACCCCATTATATAAACTATTTACAAAAAACACTCTGGAATAGCTCTGTGAAATTAGAAGAAAGCTTGAAGCTTATCTTCTGTGCCTAAGGTCAAAGTAATCAGTGTTTTAATTTTAGGACCTAGGCTTTCATTAAGTACCCTGGTAGGAGTTACATGTTTCTTTCACAATCAATTACTCTAGACACCTATCCACCATCAAAGAGACAAAAAAATCAATATCCCCTCAACATGGCCAATATATATCATAAACCCTCATTTGGAAAATCTGCCACACAAACACGACCGTATCAACACGAAGAATCACACTGGCATATCAATATTTAAGGATTCCATATTTCATTCAGATTTGATCAGTAATTTTCAAATGTGAGTTATGGTTCACTCAAAGCATGGACCATGCCAGGGGACTAAGGGCTCAGACCTCTCTTCTGGTGGCCTTGCTTTCCCACTGAGTTCAAATCAAAAACAACTCCCAATTCTGGCCACTCTGAAATTTTACACATTAACAAGGAGAAAACATGCTCACTTACCCCACCACTTTTCCTTTTGTTTGGTCCTGTTGGTAATTTTCCTCCTCTAGCACCTAAAAGAGGAAATAAATGGGAATATATATTTCAAGAAATTGCTTATGGCACTGATCATGTGGTAAACCAGGGGGAACACAAACCTATCAAGCCTATTAAATTTCAACGATTAATCAAACCAAAAACTTTTTTTGCCAAAGAGCTGGGAAAACTTCTTAACCGTCTCATAAAACTCCTTCTTTCACACTTTATTGGTTATTATGTTCCCATAAAGTTTGAAAAAAATTGCCTTGTAATTTACCGCCCCTGCCCATTCATGCTTTAGTTGAAGCAGCATTTTTTAATGTCAGGACAGATTAATCAACTACTTCCCTCCCCTTAATCTATCAAACAACATTCAAAAGCAGCAACATGTCATACTGGGATTTGATGCCTTTTGATCTTCAAGGCAAGTTCGCTCAAAAAATAATAATAACAGTTGTAAAGTAGGCAAACTGCTATTGAAATAGTATGTCCCTCACAAATGAACAGAAATTCTCAATATTTGAGATCCACCTGTACACAAAGTTCAATTCTATATTAAACAAAAATAGCTGAAAGCATTTGATTCAAAAATGAAAGTGAAATAAAGCCAGACAACAGAATACAAATGTTTTATATATTAACTTCTATTCTATGATGTTTTGCCCTAAAAGACAGATCTTTCTTATAAATGCAAGGTAAGCAAAATGTGCTATTATTATTTTTCCATTTAATATATCATTTTTTTTTCAGGTGTTATGGCTGAACAAGTAAATTATATATAATGTACTGCATATCTACTTGCAGATAAAATCTATTTGGAAATGTGATCCTTTGCTGCTAATGTAACTGAGGATGGATGAGTAAGCTACAGTTTCACATTTGACAATGGGCATAGCCATTCTTGGTATAAAGTGTTGTTACTGATATTGGAAGTTTTTCCAGTTGGAGTAGTGATGTATACATTTGTACATGAATGTCTTGAAATATTACTACTTTCTCGTGATTTGATTTGATAGAACATATAGGGAGGGAGTCATATGCTGATACAAAAAATTTACATTCTTTGTACTTGGTACTGAAACAATCAATGTAAAATCGCTATACGTATAAAAAAGTATTGCAATCATTATTGTATACTTCAATATTTCACTCTTTAAATTTTTTGTGCCGTTCCTTTTGGCAGAGTCCTCTCTTTTTCTAAACAAACAATTAATAAAACATGGGGCTTTCAAAGACATATGTTCTACACATGCCTCTGCCTCTTGCTCATATAGGCAATGCCCTGGGCCTCATTGCACAAATGATCAGATGTTTGAAAAGGTCTTTAAGATGAGGCCCAGAAAGTATTCTAATATCGTCTTGGTTCAATATCTAGTAGTTTAGAAAAATGAGCCAACTGCCTTTTTTCTTACTTATTACAAATAAATCCTGATTCAAAATACACTGAAATTTTTAGTCTAAAAATAAGACCTACTTTTGGGTTTAGTGAAAGGAGGTCCTGTTTAAAGTTTCCCTACCTGGTCTGTGTTCATCTGGCCTTTTACTGTATGGATAATATGGTGACCCTGGCTGCTTATCAACTGGAGACAGAGAGGAAGCAGGAGACATAGGAACACTGTTGTTTAACATGCTCTGCAATGAAAATGAAGAAATAAAAAAATGCAGAAAAAAAACATCATCAGCATTTTAGATCTTAACTTTGACATAAATCTTGGAAGTTTGCTGATTACAATGTTTGTAGCAACACCTGCCTGTAGTGTACATTGGTCAGTTCAGCATAAAGGTCAAGGTTGACAGGGACATACCTTAACATATCTGATCAAATATCAAAATTCCATTAACTGTTACAATTTTATGTCCCAAACAACAATGCCAAACCAACAACATAGTCATTTTTAATAAAATTATCTGGACACTCTTCTGAATAAAAAATCTTCTGATAAGGTACCTCTCATTACATAAAATGTATCATATCTATTTCAGTACAAAAAGTCACAAGAAAAACAAAAAGAAAAAAATGTTTTCTCCTCATGAATCACTTGGTAAAGCCAAGGTGACTGCTCACATAGCAGCAAACGACATAAAACCTTTGGGTTTCTCAAATCCCAATGCATTTCAAGGTAATTGCCCTACCAGAAATTCAATATTTATAGATCTAATAAGACTTATAATCAAAATATAATAGCATGTCCCCCAGAGATGGTGGAAATATCTCATTCGCCCAATAACAAGGCAAAAAATTTGCTCCTGCTGTCTCAGGTGGCTCAGAACATCTATAATCTAATAAAATTCAGATGAAATTCTTTTTGCCTCAAAAAAGTGAGGTCTTGCTTTTATTGTTTATCAAGGAAATTACTTTGTAGCAGTGACATTTCTCTAATTGGATAGAGTATTGATATTAAATGATCAATGAAATGAAATTCTACTTGCCAAAGAGGATAACTGCTCTAATATTTTAGACAATTTTACAGGGGAAGTTAGTTGTAGACAGATTAAAAGCCATACAAAGAAAACAAAATCATCTTGACTGTTTATAGAAGCATATTTTTTACTGAACAGAGCATGCAACTAAGTGTCTAGATAGTGCTGCCCCCTATGGAGGATTCTATTTATAGATCTCCAAGGATGAGGCACTGTGCACTTTTCAATGTTTGACTTGGGATGAAACCATCAAAGGCAAAATATTCCAATTTTAAAAGCTTAAAATAATATAAAATTCTACATAGTTGGGTATGCTTTTATTTAACAAGTATACAATATTTTATCATTATTCATTTCACTTTTTTCTTTTTATTTCCTTTTTTTTTTTTTTAAATCTTGAAACATCAGTCCAGTTTCTAATTCAGATGATACATCAAGAAGAATATCAAGCCCATTACCTGTCCTCCAGGCATCCCACCTTCCCTTGAGTATCTGTACGGCAGGTCATTCTTGTCTGCAAATAAACAAGGAGTGGTCAAACAAGCACTTCCAAACATTAGCAATTCACTTCTTTTAAAATAAGTATCTATTCTGACATCACTTACATAGCCTTGAAAAGAGACTTTTCATTTTTTGTATATTCTACAACAAAACCTTTATGTGCAGTGAAGGCAATTCCTATCTGGATTTGCAGAGTTTTAAAAGTGACTATCAACCAATCAAAATAAATAAGTAAATAGATAAATAAATAAATGAATGAGTAATTCATAAACCATGTAATTATTCTGTATATAATGAATAATAGTGATTAAAGATTTTAGGAAAACAATCAGATTTAAATGCTATTTCGAAAAATTCACTTCAATTTCCCCACATGGCCATATGCCAATATTCATCTCCATCTACACATTTAACACATCTTAAAATCAAATGTTTTGGGACAGATTAAAGATATCTCTGCACAACCCTTGCATCTTCTCTGGCTAGCACCTTCCAGCCCTAAAAAGACTGCCCCTTTCTCTTTCTCAATCTCAAAGGTATATCTGTTATTTCCTGTGGCCCAATCCATGCCTGCACTTTACATAAAGGTCAAACATATTTGTATTTAATTCTGCAAAATATGATCCCCCCCTCTCCCTGGGGACAGTCCAGAGATCACGGCTCAGTGCCCACTTTGTCTCCTGACCCATCCAAGTTAGTGATATGAAATTGTGAGTAACGACCTTCATAAAAATCAATTTCTGGCTGCTCTTTTGCCCTCATTTGGTTGCCTCTCCTGACTGGTTAAAGCATTAACTGGTGCTTAAGGTGATTAGCTGCGAAGTAGGTACACTTATTGATGATTTATGAACTGCACCCCAGGGACCCCTTGGCCCAGCACAATTATTGACTCCTCTCTTTTTTGACAAAAACCATGCCAAATTTGAGATAGCTTCAGTGAGCTTGCTTCAGCAATTTTCTAGACTTGAAACTAAAAAGGGCCAGAATGCGTCCATTGTTGCTGATCCTAATGCAATTTTAGGACAGTTTGTTATACCATGGTTTATTTGATGATGACACTGGGAGTTGCTCCATTTTATTTTTTAATCTCACATCTTAGCTGATTAAATTTATATATAAACCTGTCCATTGTTGTTCACTAACAGATAATTTACGTGATGATCCAAAAGGGCTGATGGCATTTAACACGCTCCCATTTTCTCTTTAAATATTAACTTGTAGGTATTATATCTATCAATTACGGCAAACCTTCTAACATCAAAAATGCACATCATACACTCATTTATGATCCCGCTCTGCTTAGTACAGTAAACATAACTGCTCTTGGTCTTGTCTTTGTTTCATACCTGACCTTGTTCTAATGACTGACGTCAATGAGATTGTTTGCCACCATTATCATTGGCAAAGACCCCCGCCTACCATTAAGACAATCACCTATATCAGAAGTTTTCTGGCTCTTTGAGTAGCAAATATAACTGACACAAATCATGCAAATCACAAATGGCATTAACGTCAGAATTTTTGCAAAAAGTCAAAACCCTCAGGCAAATCACAATCCAGCTAACCATGATGGTTAACCAGTCCCTCACTTTCATCATTAAATCAAGGGACCTTATTTAAAGCTGATTTAAAATATACACACACAAATAACATAAAACACTACACAGCATCTTCTTGCTATCTTCATTTACAGAATTTCTAGGAAATTTAATCTGTCCCACCAACCTCTGAGTTCAGTTGGTACAAAGTGGTTTTTTTTCTGGGCCACAGTGATTTGCATAAAGCCAGGTGCATCACAAGAAATAATGAGTCTTGGATCAAAGGTGAGAGGGGGCTCCTTGGGATGTATGAATAGAGATCACTTTCATCACTATCATATAGAACACACAATAAATAGCCTCAGTCAATCTATGCAAGACCCAAGCCATTAATCCTCTGTACTTTGGGCAGTTCCTTTTTTCCCTTTTTTTTTCATTCATCAAGGATGAAAAAAAAACCCTGGTAATATTTTCCCAACAAATCCAAAAATCTTAAGATTAAAGGTAAGGAAACTTCTTCATCATTGGGGTCCTCTTTTTTTTTTGCCCATAAATCTTGGCTTCTAAAAATATCAGAAGGTACTTACTTATTAAACCTGGCATTTCGCTGTTATTCATAAATGGATGTGATATGTCACTGATATGGCCATTGTAACTCTGGCCGTTATAACCCTGAAATGAAAAAATTAAAAAATTGAAAGGCAATAAACAAATAATTTTTTCCAGCATTTACTTAAAACCAGAAACGTGTCAATTTTCATCGATAGTGTAGTATTTTAAATTCATCTTGCTATATAAATTCTCATTAAACTCAACACGAATTCTTCTAAAATCAACGTTCTAAATGAGTTTATTTCAAAACTGAAATAAAATATCACAATTTAGAGATTTTTGCCATACACTTGTCTATGTCATCAAGTTAAATAAAAAGACACATAAAATCAATGTGTTACTTACCCTTGTATCAAAACCCTGACCTGGATGACTGTTATAGATCACACCTCCCCCTCCTCCTGTATCATCCATACCTACAGATATAAAATACATCAATTTATAGGTCAGCTTGACTTAATTATCCTTCCGTAGTCTATAATCTGTGCACAAGAGAACAAAATCGCCGGTTCACGGATGAATGAAACACTGTAAATGAATACTTTCCAGATACAAATACATATATAATCAACCTGTTCAATTTATAAATGATAAAGGAGAAAGAAGTTTAAATAATTTATTTTGCCAACAAGTTGGATCTTTGTAATGCCTGTATTATATCAAACTCTCACAGATTATATTCATATAATCCAGATTTGTTATGTGGGATGGTGTTCATTTTTCTTTAGCTGATTGAATTTATTTCAAAAAAAAAAAAAAAAAAAAATTCTATATAAAAATTTAATAAATAAATAAACTGGTAAACTGGATGGAATGACAAAGGAATAAAAATTTCTCTTTTACACAACCTTAAATTTGGTGTGCAAGGTGTCATGTATATCTAGCTAATTGAAATTATTTCACAAAAAAATTCTATATAAAAATTAAATATATAGACTGGTAAACTGGATAGAATGACCAAAGAATAAAAAATTTCTTTTACACAACCTTACATTTGGTGAGCAAGGTGTCATGTATATCTACAGTAAATATACATCAGGAATTATCTTTAAACCCATACTTCATTCCAGGTGTATATCTGCATGATTGGTTTGGCAGTGAGTTCATGCAAGATATCAGAGACATCATATTCAAGTTCTGGGTTGAAAAAAATTGCAGCACAGATATACTCTAAAACTTACGCCAAAAACGCATTAAACTAATTCACTATTGAAGTTAGTCAATTGTTCATCATTTCATTTCCTATCTTTCCCCCCCCCAACCAATTTTACTTGATTCATATGCTCCATTATTTTTCAATTTTGTGATGAGCTATAACTGTATATTGATTTACCACCAGCTCAACAGTGATGCGTATTAATTCAATTTCTGTTCTCAGACACTGGTTAGCAGGAAACATTTCCGGATATACTACACTATCGAGTGCATATTTACCAAGTTTGCCCATACACACCAGAAATCAATATCTTTTTATACAGCCATGTGAACATTGGACAAAGATTCAATTATATGCCACTGAAAACTAGTTCTGTCAACAGTGCCTTCTCTTGACAACTAATTGTGCTCTAAATTTTTATGCTTCTTATTTCTGTCCTTGTACAACCTTGGGGTTTTGACCGTCATTTCTATGAAACTGTAGAATAAGTATCCTGATTTTCAAACTTGGTAATTTTAGCTTCTGGTGCCATAGCTTATCATGTCCCATTAGCTCAATGATAAGGCTTAGAGGAGGGAAGGAAATGATCCACGGAAAATGAATTCAAAACAGAAGACATTTTTTTAATTGAAGCTTCTGCTGCAAAGTGCCCTGCTCGGTTGCAGTGAACAGCGCCGCAGGATGTTTTGTGTGTAAATAACACTGTGATGTGAGAAAAGGATAACAATAGGAAAAGACTTCTGTCACTAGCACTGAAAGCTGCTGGCTGATTAGCAATGAAATGCCAGAGAAATACATAATTGCAATCTCGGGACTCGAGATTCTTCTACCGCACTTCTTACACTGTTAACCTTTAATGCAAGATTTACCCACTTAATTTACAGGTGCAAAACTGAAGTTAACAAACCCCTCTGAAACCAGATAAAGTGAAGAGAAATAATCTCACTTACATCTCTTAAATCTGATGTTCCTGGGGTAGTACATCTTCACGAACTCTCGGACCTAGCATGATGTCCCTCTATGAGTCATTTGTTTTCTCCCACTTTTCCCACAAGAACATAGAAATTCTCCCTTTCTTCTCACCACATACCCACGGACTCCCTATTTACGCCTCAAACCCCGTGCCATTCAACACCATCTATCAATCAATCCTTTTTCAATATTGAATAAATTTGGCAATAAAACCTTTACAGTGTGAAACCAATCTAAACATCCGTAAATGTGTTCATTTGCTTTGCTACATTGTTGTAAAACATTAGGCCTAAAAATGGAGTACATTAGGAGCAATCAGGGGATATAATGTTGAAATATTTTCTTTATTCTCCTTCCACTTTGTACAGTGAGAACTGAAAATATTAACAAGTAACAAAAGGATCTGTTATGTGAGGGGAGTTCAAGTAAACAATAGCTTCAACATTTCTTGCTTGTCAAAACTGGGGGGAGCAAGCACAAACAATAACCTACAGAAACCCTGCTTAACAAACCGCAGTCTCAAAAATTAATCAAAAGTGTTTAGAACTGAGGTTATCCTCCCATAATTACAAATGCACTAAAATAACCCTAAAATGTGATATCATATATTAACATCAAAAAATAATGTATTCTTCATGGACTTTACACAACAGATTGCAGTTTCCTCAAAATAACTGAGGCAATTTTACAAAGAGAAGCACAGTATAAATTTCACCATAATGCACCTTATTTTGCCACAGTCTAGTCAATAGTCAAATGATAATCTCTCTTTCTCCCATGAGGATATAACTTTCCCAGTGGAGCTGTGACATTTATTCAAGAAGATGTGCAACCCTCAAGGGATCCAACTAAACTGTGATCAAACCAAACTCCACTTTTCTGATATTAAAATCTAATCCTATCATTGCTCAGTGGTTTTCCCCAATCAAAGCTTCATTAACCTGATCAGCAGGTAATTATAGAGCCTGGGCAATCTTGCTGCATTATTTCACCTTCACTGCTAATTATAAAAGCATTGTTCTTTTCCTGCCAAGCTCAATGCAAAGATTATGAGCTGTGAGCAGGTAATATGCACATCAGCCTTAATGTAGATGCACTGCAGACAAAAGGATGAGGTTGTCTGAAAGAGAATGCTTAATTAGATCTAGTCAATAGAAAACTGGCTGGTGTTATTATCTTAGGCTCCTCTATAAATCAATGAGTGGAACAAAGCTTTGGGAGTCAGTCAGGAAATCACCTGGCCTAGGGGGGACTGAGCTACTGGTGGTAGAAAACACTGGGGACAGCTGATCAACTTAGTTCAGAAATTACTACACTATCTCTACACCTCTATTTCCCAGGTAGACAGCCCCAGAAAAGATAGCAATCAAGGAAATCAAGCAAACTACAACTTAACAAAAATCCTCGGGGATGAAGAATATGGACTACTTATCACCTCTAGAAGCTTTCAGATAGTGTTTTTCCATGCTTTTTTCTCTCCAGCATGCGACTGACCTTCTAACAATATCGCTTCCACTAGACTTGACCACTCAGAAACATGTCCGACTTCTTCGATCACCATTCTGCTGTTTAACTCTTGAAACTCAACTCTGGTATATACCTGAAGCAATCTTTCATACGATTTGCCAAAATTGTTATCTTGTGCAGCAGTTATGCTTGTTGCTGACTAGCTCAGCGAAATGACTAACTTTTACTGAGCAATTACTGTACACCAAGTTTTTTTTTCTCATCTTATCTGAGGGACCTGCCCTGAGTCAACACCTCATGCTGGCAGACTTGTCATATCATCACCACTAATATCCCATGTAACTGTTATGTTGATTTCTATTTGTACAGGTAACTTTACATCAGGATATGTCAGTGCCATCAAAACAAGAGCTTTCTGGTGTTCTATGAATCTGAGCAAGCACCAAGATGGGAACTCTCAAGGCAATGCCATAAACAGTGCTGACATATCAGGTTTAGTCAATCGGCTCTATCAAGTGGCACATGTGTTTTCAATACAAAACACCTGGCCAGAAGGGTAAGAAAAAAAGCCGGGTCTGCCTTGACAGGGTTCCACTTTATATCTGCTTTAATTGAGAATGTCAGCTAAGTCTTGCACGGCTCATCCCTCTCCTGTGGGTGTCCTGTGCTTGGCAGGCAAGACATACAGATATATCAAGGTGCGATAAAAACCAATTAAAATGAAACATGAGATTTTTTAAGCTTACAGGAAAGGGGGTGAAACTGACTCATTGGTGTCATGATGGGATTGCATTTGTAGCTGTTAAAATTTTTCTTTGATGAAAGTACTTGGAAATATTTTTTTCTTTAACAGCAGGTTCTTTAATAAAGAATACCACCAAATTAATTATTGAAAGTACACTTATCTGTTCATTGGGAGGCAAGTCTACAGACATCAACCATGTGTGCATGTGAAATAATCCTGCCACAAGAAAACTTCAAGAACAACATTCTAAAAACACCTCAAAAATCATCTGAAACTAATGTGATATCTAACAATATTATCTTACTTCAAGTAAACCCCACTAACATTGTAAAATAAAATATCAAATTAACATCCTTCAGAAATATCTCATTCTAACTAAAAAACCAAACTGTTGGAAACATACCCCCATTCTATGAGAAATTTATATAATTAGCACTTAGCTAAATAATTCACAATATGGGAGAGCTAAAAGTATTCAATACCGTGAAAACAGTTCTGGAAAAGATATGCATTTTACCAGTTTTACTGTAAATAAGAATCACAGGGCAAAAGCCAGCAGTGGAACATAAGAAAAAAATGGCAATTGAACTGACAGATCTAGCGATAAACCTCCCAAACCAACACTATCAAGTGGCTTTTGTCAATGAAAATGACGAAATATAAACAGGATTGGGCAGCCTATTGTTAAAAATGTGCAGTGTCAACAAGTATCAGTGGCACTATATGTCAATGTGCCTAGTCATGGGGAAGGCCACCCTGGGGGGACAGCCTGACAACTCTATAGTCTGGACACCCCACAACAGTCTGCCACTGCAAGGAAAGATTAGTGCCAGAGATGCTTATCTTTTTTCTGCCTTCAATTCTAACACAGAGTCTGAGAGAAAGATGCCTCTCATTTTTTTTTTCTTTTCCGTCACAGAAGTAGCAGGGCAAAATAAACTGTAGGGATTTTTCCAAGGGTCATGCCCAGAACTACAAAGAAAACTCTCTCTGCTGGTCTGGTGTCACCCGAGTACAAAAGATGTATCACTTTTCTTGGGCCCTTCTCATTCACCCTCAAGCTCAGAACCACCTTC